AAAAGCAAGAGCACACTGGAACTCCCTGAGGGTGGAGATCTTTCACTGACACAGCCAAAAAGTGCCATCCACAAAAGGCACTCAGAAAATAATCTATTCAAAGACTCCTGAATACAACTTTGTATCCAACTATCTATTAACCCTATCAACATCAGTGTCTGTGTTTTTAAAGTAAAGACAATTCAAGGGAGTCCTTGTTACCCCAGAATTTATTCTATATCTCCAAAGTTGGGGGGTAGGGGGAAGGGAGGGAGATAAATGTCATAATATAAAAATGTTCATTAGTAAGCTATTTTTAAAACTGTCCATGAAGACTGTCTGTAGTCAACCTTAGACAAAACAACACAAATGAAATGAAAACTTAGAAGTAAAATCACAAATTTTGCAAAAAAGAACTTCATGAGATTAATCAAAGTGGCAATGGATTATTGCTGAATTTTTTTAACTTTGATAATGATGGGTACAGAGTTCATTTTATTGTCTTCCTTTGAGTATGCTTGACAGTTTCCATAACAGAAAAAAAATGTCTAAACAAAAAGAATATTAGAAAGCTGTTCAAATCATATATATTGACAAATGAGATTCTGGCAGAAACACACAGTTAACTAGTGAAAGCTGATAGGGTGTTTTGAAAGAATGATTAAGAGAGGTCCCTAGAAAAAGGGAAGGGCTCCAAGTATAACACTGTTATGAAAATATCAAATGTGTGCATGTGTAGGGATAGAGCAACCAATTGATGTGTCTCTCTCACATAGATGGTTTTCTCTCTCAACGTCTCTCTCTCTCCCACTCTCTAAAAATCAATGAAAAAATATCGAGTGAGCATTAAAAAAAATAAATAAAGTGTTAATTTTTAAAAAATCTAATGTGAAAGATAACTTATTGTGTGTGCTATTATACAACTTTATCAGAAAAATTCATGTCCCCCAAATCACTTAATTCACTTATTTTGTTCTTTTCTTCGGAAAAACAACTTTTTCACTATAAAGAAATTTTGGTTCCCATTTTGCGTGTGGTCATATAATAAAAACAAATCTTTTCTACTACTTTCTCCAACTGTTTCTCCCTGACAAATATGGTAATTTGTCAAGATTTCAAGATTCTTTTACAACAAAAAAGCGCTTGTATTTATTGTAATTTCAATACTCAAACATTAGATACCCTATTAAGTACATCATGTTACTAGGCAACTGAGGTTCAGTGGATAGCATTTCTACTTTCTTCCCCAACAGAGATGATATGAACTTGGGCACTCCAGTGTTCACATTATTACTTTCCACAAGAAAGTCAGTTTATTTGATAACTCACATCTTGACTAAATGTAATACATTATGTGGTTTCAAATGGGAGAATCCTATTCCTGTCCAGGAGGAAGACTACAGCCTGTTCTTAATAATAAAACAAGGGAGCTACAGTTTCATTAACAAATGAAATGATTTCACAGTTTAATACAGTCATTTCATTGTAAAACAGTACAGAACATTTTATTATAACAAACGAGACATCTAAATTTGCTTCATAATACACCAAGCCCACTTACTTCAGTAAAATAAAAATTCTGTGAAAGAAAGAACCAACCTTGAATGGAGTAAGCTTGTAGGAAATAGTAGCCCATTCACTAATTGTTCCTCCTTTTGCCCTTCCTTCAGGCCAATTTAAAGTGGGAGAGCTAGCTGGAAAGGCCCTTAGAGATTAGTCCAGTGATTTTTTTTCTTTTCAAACAGTATGTTTTGGTGCCCTAAGTAGACATCAGGGGTTCAATGAAGTGTTACAAAGAAAAAAATCAGTGTGGTCTTATTTGGCTTGAGGAATCCAATTCTGTGCTTAAGATTTTGCTTAAGAACACTGCTAAAGTCTGAAACACCACTAATAGTCTATACTCCCATTTTCCAAAAGAGGACTCTAAAGCTAAGAGAGATTAGGCAAGACTGAGATGATAATGTTGGTGGCAAAGCCAGGTATAGATAACCTGAGGTCTCAGGACCAGACCTCAGTGCCTCTCAGGAAAGGTCCAGAAGGGCAAGGGAGAAAAAGCAAGTTTCACGATTACCTTTCTTCAATTCCATTCTCTACATTTGGCCAATACTCTTCACTCAGTGTCCATGAAGCTATCTTTACTATCGTTCTCCAAAGACCACCAAGCTAGTTTGTGCCTCTCGTGTCGCCTCCCTTCTTAGAAAATGGCCCTGTGATATGTTATGCCACATGATCTCTCTTGAACAGGTTCTAATACTTCAAACTTTATGCAAGAAGCTGTGTCATATTACAGGACCAATTTTTTAAATACACAGAAGCAAGCTTTCTTCACAGAGATACTGAATAGACCCAGAAGTCTTGAAATGGACTCAAACAGAATTACAGTAACTACTCAAATGAGGTAAAAAGTCAAAAAAGGAGTCTGAGTGCCTCTCAAACCAGAACTCTACCCCACCCAGGCCTGTGATGGCTAGATTAGGGGTGTACACTTCTGGTCAAGGACCCACTCCCAGTGCCTCTGAACAGCACTTATATTCATCTCTTCTTTAGGAATGTGCTTGATACTTTACAAACTGCTCAGGGTCCTGGTAGTAAGATACACAATGGCTTATTTGAAGCTCTACAGGATAAACCTTTAACAAGATTTTAAACCAATCTTTTCAATCAAATCCACAAAGATTGGGCAGGCCCCAGAAAAGTACAACCTAGAAGTTCCCTTCAGATAAAAAATAACATAAAATTACAGAGCACTGTTTCTCAGGAATTATTTAATCCAAACCCCTACTTCTCTTCCAAGAATACTGAAACACATGATTAAAGTAACTTTGCACAGTCACAGAGCTAGTGGGAGAAATTAGATTTTATTTTCATTACTATTTTCCACTCTTCTACAAAGTACTAAATATGATCACTACTCAGCTATCGTCACATGTTCTGGCATCATTTAGATGTAAACTTGTGCAACACATACAAGGCTTAATAAACAAGTACAGATATAAACAGGTCACCTTAACATGACTTCGGAGAAAAAAAATTCACCCAAGATCACAACATGTCCCACCAAGTTCAAAATGTCTCATAGCGCAATCCCAAGAATCAGTTTCCAGCCACTGTCCCAAAATAAAATACTGATAGCATTTCTTGCTGGTAATTTAGATATATAAATGGTTTTAGGTTCATAGGTTATTAAGCCATGTAACTGCGATCTTGCCCTAAACACCAAGAACTGTGTCCAATGTATTTCTAGCCTTTCCTAGGCAAAAGCTACTTATACCTAAATAAGCCAAAAATAATAAAACCTTAGGTGATAATTTGCCAAGTTCAATACATGTCAGAAACCAATGCTTCACTATGCGTGTATAGGTTCTAGATTCATAAATCCAAATTAGACATGCATTCACACATTGGTATATTTATATATTGTGCGTTTAAAAGCAGTTGTTTGTGTCCCCCAAAATGGTTCTTCTCTGGCAAACCTAATCCAAGTGATTAAAGTGGGGAATTACTGGAACTGACAGAGTAACGATCTTTACTGTGTCTGAGTAACAAACAGCTAGGAGACGCACTTGAAAAATCATGTTAATTCTAAAAATGTATAAAGCATTCTTCTATTTTGACTAATAGTGGTTCTTCTCCCCGTTGTGCCCCGCCCCCCGCAAGTCTCCTATGGATCTGAACACCATAAATTTGACTCTCCAAGCAAAAGGAGAGCTGTTAACCTTGATATTTTATGGTCACTCTTTAAAAGAGCAACTTGTGTTTTATTTTTTGCTTTTTAATTAAAAAGGTAATTACTCCCACCACCACCACCATCTGAAGTGGATGTGAGAAATTTGTCAGAGACTCCCTAATAATAGCCATAATCCTGGGAGGAAATGTAAAAACTATTTCATTACAAAACCCTGAGTCATTACCCAGTTCACTCAGCAGATGTGGATAAACAGTGGGTAAGTGACATGTCTTATGTATTCAACCATTCATACCCCCAATGCATGAACATACAATGTTACCAGATTTCGGGTCCAGTGAACTAAACAAGATACAGCAAAAAAAAAATTTTTTTAAGTTTTTCTGACACAGTGAAGACGCCCATCTGGCAAATAAAGTCTCTAACCTGCCTCCCAGCAATTGTATTTTACCCGTCTTCCCCTAACGTCGGTTGCACTATAGTTCGCAGCCAGGTTATGTCAAAAACAAATGAATAAAAGTAACAAAAGAACACAACTCCCGAAACTGACTTCGGCGATCGACATCCATCTCAGCGACTCAAAATTCACACACGCCCGAAGTAGCTTCCAGGACAGCCTGAAGCTCTCCCCTCCATCCATCTCCCCAGCAGCATTTCCAAGCAGGAGCAAGAGACACCTCCCCTCCGTCCTAGGACTCACCTTTCTCCACATGAACGTCTAGGATACAGCCCAAGTGCGCGCGGAGGGCTGATTTTAAGCCCATCTTTCCCATCAAACCCACAAAGATTGAGCAGCCTCCCCCAACTCCCCCCCCCCCAAAAAAAAGTAGAACTAGAAGTCCCCTTCGGTCTCCTTCCCATTCAGAAAGTTACTAGACGCGAAGGGAGAGCTAGGAAGCGGCGGCGATCGGGGGGGAAGCAAGAACAGGAGGAACTGCTCCAGTCAAGAGCTGCTCCCCCAAGGACGAGTCCTCCTTGCACCCCGACCCACAGGAGCACAGTCCGAGGGACACCCATGGGGGAGCCGCTGATCTCCTTCCCCGGGGACCCCGCGGGTCGGAAGACAACAATCCAAACCCTCGGGGGAAAGCACAGCCAGGGAGGGCGAGGAGGGCCGGGGAGACCCGCAGAGGTCCCGTGGGAAGGGGGCGGGGAGGGGGGCCGAGCGCTTTCCCGAGCGGCTGCGGCGGCGATCGCCGGGGGACCCCCAGCTCGAGCACCGCGGAGCGGGTCCAGCCGTCGGGAGCCGGCGGACAAAGAGCCGCCCCCGCCCGCGGACGCCCCCTCCCCCCGCCAGCCCCGGCCCCGAGCCCACCCGCAGGCCCGTCGCACTTACGTAGAGAGCTTCCTGGTCCAGAAGAGGCCCCCGGGCCACAGCTCCTGCAGCTGCACGGCCCGGCCCAGGTTGCTTTTGATCTGGGCCAGCTGCAGGTCGGACTCGGCGTCCAGGCGCTCGGCGTAGGGCAGCAGCTTGTTGTAGACGATCTCCTTCTGCGGGACGAAGGACCGCGGGCCCGGCCCGGGAAGCCCGCCGGGCTCCGGGGGGTCCCCGCCGCCCTCCCGCTCCGCCGGCTCCATGAGCCGCGGGACGCCCGCCCGCCCCCTCCCCCCCGCGCCCTCCCGAGCCCCCTCCCCTCTCCGGGCTCCGCCTCCTCCGCGGCGTCGTCGCCCTCGGCCCGACCGCTCGGCCCCCTCCCCCGGCCGGCGCGCTGCTGGCCCCGCGCGCTCCCGGTTCGTTGGCGGCGGCAGCGGCCGCTCTGCTCGGCCCGCAGCGCCTCGGCTGGTGACGCTGCAGCCGCCGGCCCGGAGGTTCCGGACGGGCCGCAAGTCACTTCCGGGGCGGGGCGACGGCGTCGGAGGGGGCGGCGGCGGCTGGGCGGGAGCCGGGGGGCCGCGCCTTCCTCCCGTGCGCCCGGCTCGGAGCCCCCCTCCCTCGGGCTTCACCGGCCGAGCGCCTGGCCGCCCCACCGGAAACACGAGGCCGAGTTCCAAGCCATTGTCCTGTGGGGCCGGGCCTGCGCGCGCCCTCCCGCGGCCGCCTCCCCGGAGCCGCGGTCACCCACGTGATACTCGTAGGTGTGTTTTTTGTTTTTCTGCTTTTACTCTGACCCCTTGAAGTCCTCTCTTCACCACCCTCATTCCAAAGAAGGGACTAGTAATCATTCAGCAGAGAGGGGTTGGACTGTGTGTGTGCCAGGCGCTTCTTTTTGACCTTTAGGAGGGAACTAAAGAGCTCCAGGTGTGTGCCCTCCAGGGCTTTAGCCCGGCAGAGCCATAGCCTAGCCCTCGGCCCTAGGGAATAAGCAATTACAACACAACACTGTAATTGCTAGATAAGTACGGGATGCCTCCGGAGCACCTAAAGAGGTGTTCACACTTGGGGCGGGGGTGGGGGGGATTTGGGAGTGTCAGGTCCGTTACTAGAGCGAATACACACGCTGAGTGGCCAGATGATTATGACCACCTGACGTTTGTAGGCAAATTAGCTATAATTTCGTGCTGAAGTTGCTAGAGGGCCAGACGATTATGAATAGGGAAGCAGGTTGTTTACCATGACAGAAGTGATTTTTTTTCTGAAGATATGGGTAAACAATGCGATTTAACAGCCTTTGAATGTGGGATATATATATATATATATATATATATATATATATACACACACATACTGAGTGGCCAGATTATTATGACCACCTGACGTTTGTAGGCAAATTAGCCATACACTGCATCGTATGGGATATGGAAGCCGAAGGCCTGTTCGAACACCTTTGCTGTCTGCAGTTACCAAGATAAAACGTCTCCAATTTGCACAGGAACACAAGGATTGGACAATCGAGCATTGGAAAAAAGTCATGTGGTCCGAGGAAGCACGTTTCCAGTTGCATCATGCAGATGGCAGAGGGAAAAGTTGGCAGAAACAGCATGAAAGCATGCACCCCACATGCATGAGTACAACCCTTCAAGCTGGTGGGGGCAGTGTTATGGTTTGGGGCATGTTTTCCTGGCATGATTTGGGCCCTTTAATTCGTGTGGAACAACATCTGACTAGCACAACATACCTAAGTATCATCGCTGATCAAGTTCATCCTATCATGTTGATGGCGTATCCCAAAGGAGATGTCTTCTTCCAACAAGACAATGCGCCATGCCTTGGTGCTCATATTGTGCGGGAGTGGTTTCAAGAACATGAGGGAGACTTTACCTTGCTTAGGTGGCCCCGACAATCACCAGATTTCAATCCAATTGAGCATTTGTGGGATGAAGTTAAAAGCCATCAGGCAGCTGGTTCCACAACCATCAAATCTCACAGAACTGGACAGTGCTATTCATCAGGCATGGTGTCAGATTCCTCACATCACCTTTCAACATCTCGTGGAGTCAATGCCAAGAAGAATTGCCGCAGTATTGAAGGCAGAAGGTGGCTCAATGAAATACTGATGGGGTGGTCATAATAATCTGGCCACTCAGTATATATATATATATATATATATATATATATATATATATATACACACACACATATACACACACACACACACACACACACACACACATATATCCCACATTCAAAGGCTGTTAAAGTATCTTTCACCTGAGGGGACATCTCTGTGGCCTCAAGTATGCATTCGCTCTAGGAATTCAAAGAAGTCCAGAGTGGCTGAAGATTGACTGCAAGAATTGAGACCGCAGAGGAAATGTTAGGGATTTTTTTAGAGCGTTATCCTACAGGTGACAAGAAAGTCTGCAAGATTTTAGTCATAGGGGTGGTATGATGTCATTTACATTTTTTGAGCAATCACTCTGCTTTGAATGAGAATGATTTAGAACAGACGAGGTTGGGTACCAGAGGATCCCTTAAGATGTGACACGATGGCCTGGATGTCAGTTGAAATGATTTGAGAGCCATTTCAGCAAGTAGAAAGGCCTGGGCTTGATAGCTGTTTGTAAGAGTGAGGTAGAGGGAAGAGACAGGATGTGTCCGAGTTGTGGTTTGGGAAGCCAGGTAAATAGTGAAGCCTTTCCCTGAGATAGAGGACACCGCAGAAATAGCTTTGGAGGCAGAATGCCTACGGGATGGCTAAGTATTTTGACATAATGGATGAGGAAGGTGATCTAAACTGGGATATAGATTAGCATATACATGGATTGGAAGGAATGAGATATATTGTTAAAGGATAAACTGAGCCAATTAAAATTTTGAAGAGTTTATTCTGAGCAACAATTTTTAAACGTTTTTATTAATTGATTTGAGAGAGAGAGAAAGAGAGAGGAAGGGGCGAGAGATAGAAAAACATGGATTTGTTGTGTTGCTCCATTTATGTATGCATTCATTCGTTGATTCTTATATGTGCCCTCGCCAGGGATTGAACACACAACCTTAGTGTTTGGGACAATGCTCTAACCAACTGAGCTACCCCACTAGGGTCTATCTGAGCAACCATTGATTCCAGTTGGGCAGTGCCAAACCTGGAGTGATTAAGGGTGCTCCACTGACATGAGCCAGGGGAAAGGCTTATACAGTAGAGAAGGTGTTGAAGCCAATAAAAGGAACTATTTGATTGGCTATGGCTTCAAGCCTTGTGAGTTGATTGTGATTGTCCTTGGCATTTAGATTTCATAACCTTGAGGCACACCTAGATTTTGGTTTGCTTAAGTAGGCTGCCAAAGCATTAGTGCCACCTCAGTCTAATGATCTCCATGTTTAATTAATTTAACAGCATGAAAAGAATAGGGTCTTTGACCAAACTCTGAGGAACTCAGGGTTTGAGAGAGAGAAAGGAGAGAGACCACAGAGAATGCTCAAGAAGCAGTGGGAGAGGGAGGAGGAGGTCTAGGAAAATGGCATTCTTGTAAACAGTGTTTCAGATGGAAGAAGTGATTAACCCCACAAAAGGTCCTAATGGGTCAAATGGAGTGAGAACTGAGAGGGTTCCTCGGAATTACTGATAAAGCAGCTAAGCCCAGCCAATATAGCTCAGAGACTGAGCTTTGATCTATGAACCAATAAGTCACGGTTCAATTCCTGGTCAGGGCACATGCCCGGATTGTGGGCTCAATGCCCAGGTGTGGGCTCAATCCTCAGTTGCGTGCAGGAGGCAGCTGATCAATGATTCTCTCTCATCATAGATGTTTCTATCTTTCCCTCTCCCTTTCTCTCTGAAATCAATAAAAATATATTTATTTTTTTTAAAAAGAATAGTTTCAGTGGAGTGTAGGAATGGAAACCAGATTACAATGACAATGGAAAAATGGAAGTAAACAAATAGAGACAGCAAATGTGGACTGTGTTTTTAAAAAACTTTGGGTGAGCCTGGCTGCTGTGGTTCAGTGGTAAACGTTGACCCAGGAACCAAGAGGTAACTGGTTTGATTCCAGGTTTTGGGCTAGATCCTCAGTAGGGACGTGCAGGAGGCAATGGATCGATGATGTTTCTCTCTCATTGATGTTTCTACCTCTCAATCCCTCTCCCTTCCTCTCTCTAAAAATCAATAAAATATTAAAAAAAAAAAAAAAGCTTTGAGAAGAACAAGAGAGAGAAAAGGAGTTAGCTGAAATAAAAGGAGGAAATTTTGAAGGTGGGATATATTTAAATGTTTAAATATTGACTAGAATTAGCCAGTGGAGAGAGGCTGAAGATAGGTGAGTGAAGATGACAGAGAATGGAAGAGAATGTGGAGTCTGGCCCTGAGCAGTTTCCAGATTACTTCCAGAGCCAGAGGAGAAAAGCAAGGGAGGGAGGTGCACATGCAGAAAGGTTTGCAGATTTGGTAGCTGGAAGTTGGAGAAGTTCTTTCCAAAGGTTCCTGTTTTTGGTGTGTGTTTGTGTGTGTGTTTTGGGGGGTTTTATTGTTGTTTTGTTGTATTTTGTTTTCTGTGAAGCAAGAGAAGGAGAATAGGTAGGAGATTTGAGGAGATTGAGGGAGGTTTAGAGTAGTCTCAAAACTCAGAAAACGAATTAGAGAAACAGAATTGCTTGACACTGAAGGTCGGAAGTATAATACGCCATCATCTGTCTGCACAATATAGTGATTTTCTCCAATAATGTTTAGCAGCCCAGGCTGTGTACCTACAGGCTGGTATGATAGAATGACAAAGGAGTAAGGGAATGTTATGTCTGTTGGTGGTGGTGAAGGTGTGGTGTTAGTTACCATTGGCTGAGCACTTCTCTCAGCCAGTGCTTTACCTACATGACCTCATTGGATTTTCTTCTCTAAATAGAGATAATTGAGTTGAGAATATTTGAAAGGGAGTGGTTAACATTCTTCTACCCCTTTAAGTTATTCTGGCTGGTCTAATAATCAAGTTGATATGAGAAAGATTAACAGGAGGAAATGACCACATTTTTATGTATGTACTTATGGGATTCCATAAGAATGTGGGACCCAAAGACAAATTGGGCAGCTGAGAGGGAGAGGGGGTTCAGGGGGGTTGGGCTTGTGGTTTGAGGCCTCAAAGGAGAAGGCAATTCCCATGGAGGTGAAAAAGCAAATGTTTGGTAAACAACTGTTTATTGGACCATCTTTAACAAGGAGACACTGAGAGGACTTTGGTTAAAGACTTAGCTAGGTTCTTTCCTGTCTATCAATCACACTT